TCAAAAAAAAAAAAAAAGGAATTGTGGTATGTATATACCATGGAATACTATTCAGCCATACAAAGGAAAGAAATAATGGCGTTCACAGCAACCTGGATGGAATTGGAGACTATTACTCTAAGTGAAGTAACTCAGGAATGGAAAAACCAAACATTGTATATTCTCACTCATAAATGGGAGCTAAGCTATGAGGATGCAAAGGCATAAGAACAATACAGTGGACTTTTGGACTCAAGGGAAAGGGTAGAAGGGGGGTGAGGGATAAAAGACTACAAATTGGGTACAGTGTATACTGCTCAGGTGATAGGTGCACCAAAATCTCACTAAAGAACTTACTTATGTAACCAAACACCACCTGTTCCCCAAAATCCTATGGAAATAAAAAATAAAATAAAATAAAATAAAAACTCAATTTACCAAGGCAAAAAAAGGCTGAGTCTACACCTCGTTATTTTTTAAAATCAGGAGTCACCCTGGTGCTTTTAAAAAAAAAGACCAAGGCTAGCTCAGTGAGATACAGCAGAAGTAAGAGAGATTAAGAGCACAGGAAGGACTTGACCGGCTATGGCTGGAGAGGGAGGGGCTCACATGGAAAACAGTCCCAGGAATGTGGGCGGCCTCTAGAGAAATATGGTTTGGATCTGTGTCCCTGCAAAAATCTCATGTCGAATTGTAACCACAAGTGTTGGAGATGGGTTTGGTGGGAGGTGATTGGCTCATAGAAGTGGTTTCTAATGATTTAGCACCATGTATCTAGTACCATCTTGTGATAGAGTTCTCCTGAGACCGCTTGTTTAAAAGTGTGTCCCAGCAAAAGCTGTGGGGGCCTCACCTGTCCCCCAACCATGCTTAGCAAAAAAAATAAAATAAAAAATAAAAAAATAAGCATCTTACGTGCTCCTGCCATGTAAGATGTGCTTGCTTCCCCTTCACCTTCTACCATGATTGTAAGTTTCCTGAGGCCTCCCCAGCCTTGCTTCCTCTATGGCCTGTGCAATTATGAACCATGAGCCTCTTTTCTTCATAAATTGCCTAGTCTTGGGTAGTTCTTTTTTTTTTCTTTTTAATAGAGATGGTGTTTCACCATGTTGGTCAGGCTGGTCTCGAACTCTTGACCTCAAGTGATCCATCTGCCTCGGCCTCCCAAAGTTCTAGGATTACAGGGATGAGCCACCACGCCCAGCCTAAGGTAGTTGTTTATAGTAGTATGAGAACAAACTAATACAAGGAGCAAAGATCAGTTATTGGTGGCAGGCAGCAAGGAAAGACTTTAGTCCTACTATGGCAAGGAACTCAATTCTGTCAACAATCCGAATAAGACTGGAAGTAGTTTCATGCCCAGGGCCTCCAGCATGGAACACTGCCCTGCTGACATTTAATTTGGTCCTTGCAAGACTCGAAACAAAAGACTCAACTGAATGACACCATACCCGAAGTTTTGACTTACGGAACTACTAGAGTGTTAATTGTAACCTGCAAGGAATCTGCCAAACCATCCACTCACTTTAGATCCCACCCACAAGCTGAATGCAGGCCAGAGAGTATCATGATAATTGTGTGAGGGAGCAACAATCAGAAAAATTAGAAAACTTGAAGTGGAATACAGTCGTCCTTCTGTATCCACGGAGGATTGTTTCCAGGACATCCTTGGATACCAAAATCCTGACATAAAATGGCATCATATTTGCATATAACCTATGCACATCCTCTTATACACCTTAAATCTTCTCTAGATTATAATACCTAACACAATGTAAAAGCTATATAATATATAGCATGTATCCAGTTGGTATACTGCATTGTTTAGGGAATAATCAAAAGAAAAAAAAAGTCTGTAAATGTTCAGTATAGATACAACCATCCATTTTCTTCCCAAATATTTTTGCTCTGTGGTTGGTTGAATCCACAGATGCAGAACTCACAAGTACACAGGGCAGACAGGATTTCTTTTTTTTTTTTTTTTTTTCTGTCACCCAGGCTGGAGTGCAGTGGCCGGATCTCAACTCACTGCAAGCTCCGCCTCCCGGGTTCACGCCATTCTCCTGCCTCAGCCTCCCGAGTAGCTGGGACTACAGGCGCCCACCACATCACCCAGCTAGTTTTTTGTATTTTTTAGTAGAGACGGGGTTTCACCGTGTTAGCCAGGATGGTCTCGATCTCCTGACCTTGTGATCCACCCATCTCGGCCTCCCAAAGTGCTGGGATTACAGGCTTGAGTCACCGCACCCGGCTGGCAGACTGGATTTCTTACACCTGAATTTCCTACAAAGATTAAAACTGAAAACAAGGATCCAACTAAAGTACATTTGTTTGGCTCTTAATGAGTCAACATATGCCACCAATACTGTTCAATTTTTGTTCGTTTATTTAGGAGTCAGTTCAAATTTCAAAGTAACTGAAGAATTTGCTTTTATAAATAGTTCGTGTATAATAGAACAACTTCAGGGAGGAATATTTTTATTTTTTAATTAATTATTTATTTTTTGAGGCAAAGTCTCACTTTGTCACCCAGACTAGAGTCCTGCCTCAGTCCCCCAGGTAGCTGGGACTACAGGCTCACACCACCATGCCTGGCTAATTTTTGTATTTTTTTGTAGAGATGGGGTTTTGCCATGTCGGCCAGGCTGGTCTTGAACTCCTGAGCTCAAGCAATTTGCCCACCTTAGCCTCCCAAAGTGCTAGGATTACAGGTGTGGGCCACCACACCTGGTCAGGCAAGAATATTTTTAAAGAAGTTAAGAAAACCCGAATGTATTATTAGGTTGGTACAAAAGTAATTGTGGTTTTTGCCATTACTTTTAATGCCAAAAACTACAATTGCTTTTACATCAACCTTATATAACCTTATCTTAGTCAGTTTGCAGAAAACAGACCAAGTAATTTATACAGTAAAGAAGTTCATTTTGGCTCATGGTTGTGGAAACTGGAAAGTCCAAGAGCATGGTGACAGCTTCTGGTGAGGGCTTTTATACTGTATCATAACTTGGCAAAAATGTGAAGGGAAAGTGAGCATGCATGCAGAAGAGACTGCAAGAATAAGCTAAGCTCACTTTTATAACAACCTGCTCTCATAAGAACTACTTCACTCCTAAGAAAACTAACTCCCTCCATAACACCATTAATCCATTAATGAGTGCTTAACCCAGGACCCAATCACCTGTTAAAGGCCCTACCTCCCAACACTGCAGCATTGGGAATTAAATTTCCAACACGTGAACTTTGGGGGGAACACATTCAAACCACAGCACAACTCAAGTGGAATTTGCTAAGCAGGTACTTTGTGGAAAATATTTGGGTCTGCCATAGGCTATTGAACCAGTAATGCCAGCAGAGAGCTTCATTTGCTCTCGTTAACTTAGCCATTGTCAGTTTCATGAATTATTGTCAGAAATAGAAGCTAAATATCCCGACTTTCATACAACACAGCAGTTTGATGCCTTGACAGTGTTAAAGATTTATCAAGATGTTTGTTTTTAGCTCAGGGCTGAGATTGAATTTTTTTCTAAATGAAAAGAACCACCCCCAACCACTTGTAAAACACCAAACGGCTTCGGAAATTAGCTTTTGCTGCAGACTTGATAATATTACTTAATGAATTCAAACTAAAATTACAAGGCTAAAGTAACCTATAACTTATACTATCATAAAGTCATTTCAATGACCACATTGAATCACAAGTAATATCAAGCTGCTTTATATACTTTCAGTGCTGTCTAAAGTTAAAACAGGAAGCAAGATCACCATCCCTACTCAAAATTAGCAGTGGCTGTATTTTCCATGCTCAATCTATAGTTCTGGTAGCATTTTTGGACCTCTATGCAAATGCAAAGCACATTTCTATATTTCGATATCCCTGTAACTGTGCAGTTGAGGAGTTCCCACCTAACCTTCAATTGGAAGTGATTAATCTGCCATATAATGACATGCTAAAGTGCAAATTTCAAGAGAAGAATATAACAGAACTCTATAAATGTCTTCCAAGCAATGAATATACTCAAGTTAAATCATATGTTCGTGGATGATCAGTATTTGGCAGCATGTATCTATCTTAAAAACATTTTCAAAGATGAAATATGTAAAATCTCATTATAACTGGTATAAACAGATGTACACAATTTTGATGCTGATGAACACTAACTCTGGGGCCTAGCACAGTGCTCACGACTGTAATCCCAGCACCTTGGGGGGCCTGAGGAGTAAGAATCCCTTGAGCCCAGGAGTTCTAGACCAGCCTGGACAACATAGTGAGATCCCCATCTCTACAAAAATGTTTTAAAAACTATCGGGGCACAGTGGCTCAGGGTTGCTGTAGTCCTCGCTACCGGGGAGGCTGAGGCGGGAGGATGCTTGAGCCCAGGAGTTCAAGGCTGCAGTGAGCCATGATGGCACTACTGCCCTCCAGCCCAGGCGACAGAACAGGGCCCTGTCTGAAAAACAAAACAAAACAAAACAAAACTCACTAACTCTGAATTCCAATTAAGCAAAATGTTACGCCTAAAAAAAGAAAAATTCCATTCTTTGCATCAGTAGCATTACTATATAATGATATAATGAGATCATTATCTTTTTTTTTTTTTGAGATGGAGTCTTATTCTGTTGCCCAGGCTGGAGTGTAATGATGTAACCTCCGGTCACTGCAACCTCCCCCTCCCAGGTTCAAGCGATTCTTCTGCCTCAGCCTCCCGAATAGCTGGAATTACAGGCGCCCGTCACCACGCCCAGCTAATATTTGTATGTGTATTAGAGACGGGGATTTCACCATGTTGGCCAGGCTGGTCTCGAACCTCAAGTTATCCACCAAACTCAGCCTCCTAAAGTGCTGGGATTACACGCGTGAACCACCGCGCCCGGCCAATATCATCATCATTATATTTTGCGTTTTATCAATATGAAATTGATGGGAAGGAGGAGTGGTTCCACGATTGAGAGCAAGGCTTGTGTCGTCACCATGGAGACGGACAGTCCAACGCTTCTGATTGGCAGGGACCAAGGGACGGGTCCTCGGCCCGTCCCCCTCGACCCTCTCGGACCGGAAAGTCCTGGCAAGGCTCGAGGGCGCAGGGTCCGCACAGCCCGGATGAAAAGCAGACCCGGGGAAGCTAGTGGGAGTCAGGACCCCGGGCGATGAGGGCGGTGATGAGGGAAGGAGGCTCCGGGCGCCGCCGGCGCATGCGTATTGGGGATCTGAGGCCAGTGCCTTGCGCCGCCATTGCAGGGAGGCTGTCGTCAGAGGTGTCCTGGCGCGCCGGCTGCTGGACCGGCCCCAGGAGCCCAGTCACCGGGCGTCATTGGCTCAGGCGGTGGGGCCCTCGGCACCTTCTCCCGCCCGGGTCCACCCTGGCGGCGGCGGCGGCGGCGTCAGAGGGCGGAGCCTCCCGGAGCGCCCTTTGTCTGCGGAGGTGAGTGCGCGCCGGGAGGAGGCGGAGGCGGGAGGTGGGAGGCGGCGGCCGGGGGAGGGGCGGCCGCTGTCCCCGCTGTCCCCGTTTCTGTCACCCGCCCCGTGTGCCTTTCGGATTTTTGGTCTTTTATAGGACGGTCTTACCCGTTCCAATATTACAAACACATTGTCCTCTACTATCTGCGAATGACTCTGAGGCTGAAAAAAAATTTGCAATTTATTTTTGGGCAAGCGTCCATAGATGTCATTTTGGGGGAAAGTTTTTCCTCATCTCAGGATTATGCAAACGTTCGCCTTTATTTTCTTTTAATACGTTTAAAGAATTGAAAAAATATTTTCTTTTTCTCCTTTTTATCTGTATTTCATTGAGTATGATATTTGTGGTAAGGGGTTAGTTAGGGATTTACCTTTTTCTCTCATTGCCTTGGCGTTATCCGTTGAGTCACTTTTCCACGGAATTGCGTGACACTTTTATTACATTTTGCAGGCGTGTGTATACTCAGATGTGTTTCTGTTTATGTTTTTGTTTTGAGACAGGATCTCACTTTATCACCCAGGCTGCAGTGCAGTGACACGATCATGGCACACTGCAGCCTCAAATGCCTGGACTCAAAAGCTCCACCTGCCTCGGCCTCCCCAGTAGCTGGGACCACAGGTGTGCACCACCACGCGCGACTCTTTGTTGTTGTAGTTAGCGACCAGGTCTCACCATGTTTCCCAGGCTGGTCTCGAACTCCTGAGCGCAAGTGATCCTCCCAGCTTGGCCTCTCAAAGTGCTGGGATTCCAGGCGTGAGCCACGGCGTTCGGTCAGATGTTTCTAGATTCTTTCACTGCCCTGAGAGTTTCTGCAGTGAATATATATCCATATATACATACATACATACATTTTTTCATTTAAAATGTTTAGGCCGGTTGCGGTGACTCACGCCTGTAATTGCAGCACTTTGGGAGGCAGAGGCAGGAGGATCACTTGAGCTCATGAGTTCGAGACCAGCCTGGGAAATATGTCAAGACCCTGTTGCTACAAAAGGAACTAGAAACATTAACCGGACTTGGTGGTGTGTGCCTGTAGTCCCCAGTTACTCAGGAGGCTGAGGTGGGAAGATGTCTTTGGTCCAGGAGATGAAGGTTGCAGTGAGCCAGCCACTGCACTCCAGCCTCGGCGATAGAACCAGACCTTGTCTCAAAAAATAAATGTTTTAAGCAAATCCCGCTTAATTATGTCCTTTCATGTAATGATTTTTTTTTTAGACAGAGTTTTGCTCCTGTTGCCCAGGCTGGAGTGCAATGGTGTGATCTCCGCTCACCGCAACCTCTGCCTCCTGGGTTCAAATGATTCTCCTGTCTCAGCTTCCCGATTAGCTGGGATTACAGGCACATGCCACCACACCTAGCTAATTTTTGTATTTTTAGTAGAGACGGAGTTTTATCATATTGGTCAGGCTGGTCTCAAACTCCTGACCTCAGGTGATCCGCCCACCTCAGCCTCCAAAGTGCTGGGATTACAGTCTTGAGCCACCGTGCCCGGCCTGATCTATTTCTTTTAACTTAAATTGTGAGGCATTTGAAAGATACAGAAAAGTAAAATAATAATAATTTTTTAAAAGGCAGGTTGTAGCACTTAGTAGGTTGTAGCAATTAGTAGGTTCTAAATAGATAGCTATTCAGTGATGAATGTTGGTTGAAAGTCACTCCGTTGCTGAAAACTTGCGCACGGCTCCCTGCTGCCATCAGGAAAATGTTCTAGTTCCTCAGTGATGCCCTCAAAGCCCTTTATGATCTTGATATTGCATCTGGCTTTGCCTTACACCCTTGCACTTTTTTTCACCCCAAAAAAGCAGTTTGAGTGCAGATTTGTATGTGAATTTCATTAGAAAAGAGGACTATATAAATCTATATGAGTTACAGTTCTTGTAATATGTTGGTGTCATTTTCATCTGATTGGAAATGTCAACTGTGAAGAGCATGCTTTTAATTTTTACCTTAGAGTATGCATCTTTGGTGACTGTCGTAGCCTGCTCAGTCTGCTATACAATACTGCAGACTGAGTGCCAACACAGAAATGTCGTATCTCACAGTTCTAAAGGTGGTAAGTTCAGAATCAAAGTGCGTGCCCTGTTGGTTTCCAGTGAACCTCTCTTCTTGGCTTGCAGAAGGAGCTGGCTTTTCTCTATGTCCTCTTCTGCTGGCCTTTGCACTGTATGCATGCACTCTTGGTGTCTCTTCGTCTTCTTATGAGGACACTATTGCTATTGGATTAAGACCCCACCTTTATGACCTTATTTAACTTTAATTACAGGCCCAGTGCAGTGGCTCACCCTGTAACCCATCACCAATTGGAGGCCCAAGGCGTTCTGATCTACCTCGAGGGTCATGAGCATTTGAAAACCAAACCTGCCTATCATAGGGAAAACCCCATCCCGACATAACAAATATATAAAATTAGCCCCTTCTGTAGCACGTCACTTCAGGTAAGGCACCGGGCAAAGCTAATCTAACCGGAAATGATACCAATCTCTAACATAGGTAAACCCCGTCCTACAAAAAAAAATAAAAAAAAAAAAGTCAGCCGGGTCTGGGTGGG